AAAAGAGTCGGGAACAGACAACCGGCACCGACCGGCAATGCAAGTGTGTGTGTCTGTGAAGAATGTCTGCAAGAGAGACATGAGGGAGACTTCACGATGAGCCCAATGAATCGAAGTCTCTCATAGCTTCATCTTCCAAAACATCAATATTCATTTCCTTGTGGCACTGGGAGGGAGGCGTGTTACCTAAACCCTGACCTACTATACTTAGTAAGCCCTATATGACAATATGAACCCTTAAAACAATCTTTATAGCAAGTCCCTCTAATCGCGCCCATGTAGTAACCTTTAGGGTGCAGGGAGTAACAGGAACCGTTTGGGGAGTAGCGGAAACGCTTGTACAAGTAACGAACGGAAACGGGCGACCGCAGGAACAGCAACCAAACGACCAGCGTAACAGGAGCTGCCACCGGAAACCGGGCAGGAGGCCTTTATGTTTGCAAAGAAGGGATCGAAAAACGGTCCCCCCAGGGGCAGGCAAAGGAGAACGTCCAAAAATGCCTTCTGCATCCCTTTGCACAGAAGCGTACAGCGTGTTAACGCCTATGCAGACCTTCAGCCGCAAACTACGAAACCCTGTGCCACAAAACCTGAGCACTGAAACACTTTCACTGTTGCATGGATAAAGCAACCTCGCTTGTAGGCATATATCCCTGCCATGAGAGGTAATAGACCGCAGTTCCTGTTACGAGGGCTGTCCCCACCCTATGACAGGAACCAGCCGGTTTGTAATACGATGTCAGGGCAGGTTTCTGTCACAAGGCTCTGTTACGGTCGGCCGGCTCCCGTTGCAGTCTTATCCTCTCTTATCGCAGATCGGAGAGAGGCCGCGACCTAGCCAGAGTGTCCAAAGGCTTGTCGACGCCCCATCTGACGGCTCCTTTCCTTGGCTTCCCTAGGAGTTTAGGGGTTTGAAGGTTCTCTTGGTAGAGTGTGGTGTCACTCCTTAGGATTTATGGGGTTCAGAGTTGGGGATTTGGACCTGGAGATCAAAATGACTCGTTACTGAATTTTACATGACGCTGTGCGAAATCGTTGTTCCGGAGGCGGTCCCTGAGAAGTGTCATCTTTGCCGATTTCCCCTCCGAAGAAGACTTGGTAGGCTGACACACAGTTGCAGTCCGAGTGCGCAACAACGCACTTCTTGATCCAGGTGACTTCGGACAGCCTTTTTTGTCTTGCGCTATTCGCGCAGAGCACACCCTGACAGTCCCGGGCAGATCCATTCCAGGAATGACCTCAGCTGCCGGCATGAACTACTCACCCAAACCAAGTTGTTTCATACACCACAGCCATACCGAAACCTGGTGTCATCAAACTGCGACACTGTTCTGCTGGGCTACCGCGTCGATCTTCGACAAGCAGTCCCCGGCAGAGTTGACCCGCAGGCTGTCCCGTCGGCACCTGCCGGTTCGGTTAGGGCCAGTGTCTCCTGTTCCAATCCTCTTCTGGCTCGGGATGCTTCGGGAAGGAGTCGGGAACTCCGAGCGAGTGATGCTGGTGGCTCTCGGATTGTGAGTTGGAAGCCACTCGCGGCACGCTAGTGGCCAATACCAACACTCAAAAACGAAGCCATCACGAAACCTCCCTACTTCCGTTGTGCAGATAACGGATCCCACTGCCATATCCAGCCCAAAGCAAGTCCTCACCCAGCACCCAATCGGCGACACCACCTGGAGGTTGCACACTTCCAGCATCCGCGACTGCTTCAAAGTTGTCCGACTCATCCCAGATGGTTGACTCCTGCCTCACGAGAGCTGCCACGGGGGCTCACAAATCTCGTTCGGGTTTCTCATTTCGAGAAATACGGAGACGCGCATCCAGAGGTGCATCCAAGGATGCATGGCAGATCGGTTGTGTGGAGGCACCCAGGGCTATCTTCTTATAGGTTCGTGGATTCGAGATACGAGAGGAGCATGGATTGTCAGGCATTTGCATTTCTGGCTTCCTGCTTGGAGTAGCTCGAAATCAACTGTTATTCGGATTAGGTTTGTGGTTCATAGGTCGTGTGTGTATACATACATACCTATTTACACATCTCTATGTATGACTGTATATATATATATATATATATTATATAAAATTAGATGGCTATACAGGACTCATGTATCCGGCATAGTTTCAACATATTATAAGCTGCAAAGCAAAGGCACGTGGCTCACAGGAACAGAGGCATTGTAGTGGTTTGGGACTTGGGCGAACTAGGTCGGTTTCATGCAAGCAGAAATGAAATCACACAAGCAAGGTCAAGGCCGTTGGCGATGAAGGCTGCCTCCTCCGACATACTTTAGTTTGAATAGTTCTGTGTTTTGCAAAACAAAGGAAGCTGTGCTGGTCTCGCTCATCAAGCACTCCAAACCCTCCAAAAAACAATCCCAGGAAAAAACCCTCCAACGAAACAAGCACTGGTCTCATGAGGCGGCCACCGAATCAAAGCTGTCACCGGGAGCGTCACGCGCAGCTCCTTGGATTGAGAGCAGAAAGACATGTTGTGGCTCGCCAACTTCGTGAGACATTTTGTTTCCGCCGCATCAGTTTGGTCATACCATCCACCCTCTGCCTGAACCCTCAGCCGCAAACAGGCATTGAATTTTCGCAAGACAGGTGTGTCAGAAAGCTTATGTAACCCTGCAACAGGTCGCAGCGGCAAGACATCCCAACCGCCTGCAGCGGTAGAGGAAGCTTGCGACTTGCAAGAAGGCGGTGAAGTGAAGCATGCAAGTACGGTATACTGTACTATACGATACTATACCGTACCATACTATACAATACTATACTATACCGTACTATACTATACTATACTATAATATACTCTGATCTACGATCACATACTCTAGCAGCCCCTTGTGCAGACCAGCATCCGGTTGAAGGTAAGGTGAGAAGCTCTGCTCGGCCTCGGCCCCGGCTGCCTCGTCCTCTTCGCGTCCCAGGCAAGTTGGCTTCAACTCAGCCTCGCACACGGGTTGAGGGTTTAGTGGTTTAGGGTTTAGGGTTTAGTGGTTTAGGGTTTAGGGTTTAGAAGTTTAGGGTTTAGGGTTTAGAAGTTTAGGGGGTTTAGGCCTTTTTTGTTTAGGGTCTTCTCTGCAGTACTGGTCCAAAGGGGTTTAGGGTTTGGGGCTCTCCAAGAACTGCGGGTTTACAAACTTACATGCATTCTGTCACGGCTGGCCTGCTGCACGGGCAGGGAAGTTAGATCAAGCAGCGATGGCCACCAATACCTCGAAATGATGTCAGCTGCAAGGGACACTGCTCTAATCGTAGATAGGCAGAGTTGAAGCGCCGGACCGTCGTGCAAAGTGGGTGGCCTTATACTTACTTGCAAATCCGACTTCACTTACGAGTGTCTCTGCCTGAGACATCCCAGAAGCCATCGAAAGGATGTCCCCACACCGACGCCCCGGGTTGAAGATGCAACGAACAATGGACAAAAGGACTTACCGCCACTGAAGGTCCGGGTTGACTTCTCATGTGTTCTAGCATGTGTCTGGGCACCAGGATATTAACCATGCATCAAGCCTGTCCGAGAAGGAACATCTACGTGCTCTAGCTCCATCACAATTTGGCAAGGAGCCAGTAAAGTGCCACGAGGGAGCCGCTGCTACCGGCGAAGATGGCAGCCCTGGGCCGTAGCATGCCCCACGAAATACCACGAATGTAAGGGGCCTCAACAGTTCGAACTGAATAGGGCTTGGGGTACATTCTGTAGAGTTATCTTTCCCAGTATTGCCCGGGTGTGCACAGCTCTAAGGCCTTGATGCAGGCACGCCTGCAACAACCTCACTTGGGTAGTTCTCTAAATCAGGGTCCCTTTTTAGGTCCCCAATGTAGTGCGGCACCCTTATAAAAAGACCCCCAAAAAGGACCCTAATTTAGACAACTACCCACTTGGAAGTGGGAGTCGGGGCGCAGCACCTGGCCTATTTGAGTCATCTGATCCGAAATCTAGACATCCCATCACTTCATCTCCGTCGCAGTCCCTCAACACTGTAGCCTCCATGCCTACTCAGTTCAGTTAAGGATTGCGCGTTATCCCTCTTAAGTCCCAGGTCTGCGCGCGTACGAATGAGGTTCCGGCACCATGGACTCTTCCCGATCCAAGAGGATCAGGGTCATCACCTCAATTGCGGTGACCCACTGCCACTGTCACAAACCTCAGGGCACCCCGAACCTCCTGGCCTGAAGCGCCTGGTTGTTATGTAATCTAGGAGTCCATGTGCGTGCCTCTTTCTGCCGGCAGCCTGTTCTCATGATGCCTGCTGGTGCTGCATTGAGGCAGGCGTTTTTCCGAGTTGTTGCTGCCAAAACAACCCGTACGGAGAGTGCTGTTGCAACGACGATGGATCAGCGAACGGTGTTGGCAGAGCTGCTTTCGTAGACTTGAATGTGCAGTATCTCGCAAGCCTTCTGCCCGTCAGCTTGGCAGCATCGTGGTCCAGAACAGTCTTTATGTTATATCAACGACAAATGGCCTATTCATGCCCCTCTGCGCACAGATCTGAATTTGATAAAATAGCACCACCCGGGGCCCGCGGCCACCCGTGCCGGAGATGCTTGAGCCCTTTCGGATACCCACCGAAGCTTGAATACCCCAATACTCCCAACCCTCTCATGCCCTTCTGCCGTTTAGGGACGAGGATGTAGATGACCAGTCCCATCTGAATGTGCTGCATCTGGGCTCTCCAAAGCTGCCCTCCGGAGTCGGACTTCTTGGTCTCCACGAAGACCTCCAGCTACTTACCACCACCCTTTTTATGCAATGATTCAATGGAAACATCACTTGTAGTAGTCAATCAAAGTCTGTGTCATAAACAGGGTAAAATGCCACCATTGAAAGCCTGCCGATCGATTTCACTCGCTTGTGGACGTACTGATGCACAGGTCTGAGATCTCCCAACCAATTCAATTTAAACCCTCCCCCAGCCAACCCTGAAAAGCTTCACAGACCCTTCAACCCTTCGTCTCGCAAGTGTTCATGGAATCATGGAAGCTCTGACTCGGACGCTTTTTAGGATGCCTTCTGATTCCCTGACAACCGAAGGGTGGGTTCAACGGTTCAGGATTGGGGGGGGGGGGCGGAAACCACAGGAAAATGGAAGGCCTGAAACGCTGACAGGGCGCGATCAGGTATCCGAACACTAGTCGGCGGAAGGCAAAGCCAATCGCCAGTATCACAGGAATGAATGGCTGCAAGCCTCAAGCTTAGAGCTCAGCGCTCATGATTCCACAAGCACGGTTACAAAAGTGACGACTGCTGACAAGATATGCGAGGTTTGAGAACATTGCAATACAGAAGTTTGGCTGCAGAAGCACCGAACCTGTAAGGCAACAATTCACAAGCTCAACCCTCGCCACTAGCCAGTCACTAAGACTGCCTGCAACTGCAGAGCAAGGTCCATCGTTTTGCAGGGCTTTGAGCGGAACTTGGCCAAGTGGCTGCATAGGGTCAGACCAAGCACCATGTGCAGCGACCAGCGCGCACTCCGGGCGCCGACGCCGTGAAACGTTTGGTCCTTGAAACTCATGCATAGCCGCAGAGGGCTATTTCGGCTCGTGTCGGGAGAAGAATAAACTGCCATAGCGGGAATAAGCTAGGAACTGTTAAAGTTATAACAGGCATTCAGAAACGGCCATCCGCACTGCATTGTTCGAGTCATGCTTTCGGTGATGACTCAGCACAGAAGATGGCAAAGTTATGGACCCCTCCAAGCAATTGTTTTGTGTTTGTATCCTTTCTGTGTAAATATTTCAGACCGAGCTCGCACGTTCGCCGCGCATGTCTTGCACAACTCGAACATCTACACATCACAGAATCCCCTAAAGCCTGGGCCTCACCTTCCTAACCCTAACTAATCCCCTAGACCCCCAATTAAACCCTGAGAGAGCAGGTCCTCTGGCTCGGAAAGCTCTTTGGCAATTTCCGGAGGCCTCAGACCACGACAGCCTCAATGTCATCCCTTACTCTCATGACCATTGCTACCAAGGTTACTGCTACCGTAACAGCAGCAGCAGCGGCAGCAGCTCCTCCTCCCCCTCCTGCCACCGCCGACGCTGCTGCTGCTACCTCCTCCTCCTCCTCCTCCTCCTCCTACTACTACTACTACTACCACTACTACGACTACCACTACGACTTCTATTACGACGACGACGACTACTGCCACCATTACAACTTCTGACCGAATAAGGCAAGCGACTCACCCGCCTGCAAGGCCTTCCAGAAATAGAGTAGTGGAAAGCCTCGGGAATGCCCGAATGTGCGTTAAAGATTCAAAGTAGTATGATAAATGTTGTGACAAACTCCATAGTTTGTTTAAGGCCCGTGCAGCGGACAAGGTCAAAGAAGGGAGTGCTCCAGAGAAGGACGGCATACCGGAGGTAGAAATTCGTGGAGTCGGGAAGCTGGTCTGCGAGCAGATACCAGACCTGCACCAGGGGCTCATCAATCATTGTGAAAGATCATTTCGCATTGGAAGTTCCTGCCAAAGAACTCTAAGGCCCCAAGGCATGTGCACCTTCAGCGGTTCTTGTGCCAAGCGCGCTGCTGCTTCGAAGAGTGACGTGCCAACGGCGGTGACCAGCAGCACGAACACCACCTCGGGCGACAGCATCGCACGCGCCTGAAACAACTCTCCCCTAAACCCTGAACCCTAAACCCTAAACCCTGAACCCTAAGCCGTAAACCCTGAACCCTGAACCCTAAACCCTAAACCCTACACCCTAAACCCTAAACCCTAAACCCTGAACCCTAAACCCTAAACCCTGAACCCTCAACCCAAAACCCTCAACCCAAAACCCTCAACCCTAAACCCTCAACCCAAAGCATTAACCGAATTTTTAAAGCCGAAAGCCGAGGCTCCAGGAAGAAGAAGTACCACCGCCTCGCTATGGCATTTTTGAATTCTCTCATGGTTTTTTGGGCCTAAGAGTTAAGAGTTAGGTTTAGGGTTTAAGGTTTAGGGCTTAGGGTTTAGGGTTTAGGGTTCAGGGTTTAGGGTTTAGGGTTTAGGATCAAGGGTTTAAGGTCAACAAACTGCGGGCAAGTATCTGGATCTTGTGCTGGCCTTTTGAACCAGACCGCAGGCGATAAAACCTCGAAAAGACCTGCTGCACATTGACCAAACAACAAGGAAGCTGGCAAGCAGTCAGCAAACCGTGCGCTAGAAGATGCATACCTGGGAGGCCATGACACCAATTGAATGCTGTGCCTCCGAGAGCATCCAGGGCACAAGGTCCATCAGCATGGAGAGGAGGCTTGTGCCCAACCTCGCCGCGTTGTTGAACAGTTCAGGATAGCACGTGTGAGGGTGTGAATGCTAGCAGGGAAACGCGCATGATGGGATCCAAGATTGAAAGATGCGGACACTCAGATCTGAGGTGGCTGCAGGGCCTCCCAAGCTGTGGTGATGTACTGGTACTCCCTGGACCAGACCTGCACCGTGGGCGGCAAACATGGTCCCCACCGAATTTTGACCCGTCAGCACACTAGTCCCTTTACAAAGCCGGGTCCCCTGATGCGGCTTTGGCCTGCTTGGTTTCTTCTGCGATCTTCTGTGAGTTGAACAGACAGAATAGCGAAGTTGGTTGAGACTCTTCATCACAGGCTTCTCTGACAACGGCACAAACAACACCGACACCAGGAGCTTTGTCTGAGGCTACCAAAACTTCTCCAACCAGAACCGTCTTAGGGGTTCAAGCAAGTCCCGACAAGCTTGTGGCCATGCCACACTTGAGTTGCATGTTAGAATGCAGGGAAAGCATGCCTTGCAAAAAGCGCCTTACCTGCATGATCCTGTCAGTCTAGCTCAGCTTGCCAACAAGGTTTCGGGGGTGCCAGCTTACCAGCTGCTAGCTGGACCGTGGGGCGCCTCGAGCTTCGGCACCAGGTGCGTCAGGGAATCTACGCTCAGCAAGGACGAAATACCAATCCTCATGAAGTTCGGATCGATGACACTGCAAAACTTGCTGGCATCTTGGCAACCCTTGCTGCGCCGCCGTGGCCAAAAGATGACTTGAAGCCAAGCTTCACGACCGGCAGGAAAAAGAAAAAAACGCAAGCCACCTCAGTCATCTCTGCCATGTTCTGTTCCAGAAACCTTGCCAAACCATGCCCCACGCAGTCAAACCGAAGGTAGCCAAGGCACTAGCAAGCGCCCAACGAGCGCACTGCCTTTTTCGACACTGGCCGACGAGCGCGTGAATGACGCGAAGTGCACATCGAATGGCTCCGGAGCCAACGAGACCGCGAAGTGGCCGCGACCTGGACCAACGCAGCCGTCTCTTGCAGGGAAGCCCGAAAGGCTTCGAGAAGCACGCTTGACATCTGCACTTGAATTATATCGACAAGTGCTGACTGCAGCCGGCAGGCTTTCACTGTATCGCAGACCTCTCGCAAACTCGGCATGGCGGCGGTCGCGGAAGGTTACAAAAGCCGCATCGCTCGCGAAAGACTGGCAACCTTGCGTCTGACGACGCAGGCATTCAACAACGATGCAAGTCCTTGCAGTACCTGGGACAGAGGCTGAACACCCTGGTGGCCATCTCCTCGGCGGCAGCCGATGCCCGGTTGTATCGCCTGCAGAAAAGCCCCGGCTTGGCTTGAGTCGCAATGCGCGAGCAACGCGGGTCCTCTCCAAGGTTTGCAATCGTCGAGGCGATGCTGCCTTGCAGTGACATGCTGGCGACAACAAAGCTCTCCGGGCAACACTAGCCCTAAACCCTAATTCCTAAACCCGAAGCCCTAAGCCCGGAACCTCAAGTTCAGTCCCAGACAATTGCGGGAAAGCTAGGGCTGCAAAGGCACCTCGCGAGCCTCGTGTGAGGCAGCACATTGCAAACCAACCTGCACATGCTTGGACGGTATCGGACAATGGGTTGACAACATGAAGCAGAATTTGCCAACAGGACTACTAAGAACAGCTTCGTCAGCTCCAAGAAGAATCAAGTATATCAATAGTCGAGGGCGACGACGAGGACCGCAACCATAACCACTACAGCAGCGACAAAGACAGGCACAACAACAGCGGCAGCAGCAAAACGAGCGGCAACAACAACAAAATCTCCTGCAGACTAGCTGCCAGTATAGTGTTGCTGCTACTGTAACAGCATGGACTGGACCCTCTGGGAAGAAAGGTCGCCCAGCAGCATCGGAATCGTCTCTTGCAGAGAAGCTAGCAAACACTGAAGCCAAGCTACAGCATGAGGCAGCTAGAGCGGGGCGAAGCACTTTCTTGAAAGGCGACTGTTCAAGCGCCAGGTTTTCATTGTGTTCCGTTTCCCTAGACATGCCTCGACAGTACTGATAGCATCGCTGTGTGCGTCCAGCCTGCGCCAGCTCTTCCGACAGCATGTCTCGTGCCTGACGAAGGGAGGCATCTGTCCGAGTTTCCGCATCAGCTGAAATCTGCTGTCAGCTGGAGTTAGTCTGCTGCCAGATGGACGGGTGATTAGCCGCCTCGATGAGCGGCAGCAGCGAGGACGTGTCCCGCACGAAGACGACGTCCTTGACCACAGGCTGCCCGAAGATCTGATCGAAGAACTTCGCCTCAACTGCGCAGAACTGGCCACAAATACTCGGAGACACGAGCTGCCTCTCTGATGAGGCCGGGCGGCCATGGCAGCGTCGGTGCGGAGTTGCTCAGGGATGCCTGCCATGAAGATGCTTCTTCAGCCGAATGTGACCAGTACAGGATGCCTTCCACCAGCCGTGTGGTGGCTCTTCCATCTGGCATATTGGAGAGCCAGCCTTGTGCGCAACAACAAGTGTTTCTTCATTGCTGTGCCGATTGTCATTTGCTCTTCTTCTTACAAGATCTTACAAGTACACATGATACTGTTGTCAATATTACTGATAACAGTTATTACTGGTATTGTTGCTACTATTAGCATTGTCATTCGCATTATGGCTGGTGATGATGATGATGATGATAATGATGGTGGTGATGGTGGTGATGTTGGTGATGGTGGTGATGATGATGCTGATCCGTATTGGCAAGTGTATAGTGTTGTCCCTATGACTAGAGTGACTGAAACAAGCAGTTATCGCTGCTGTTGCTCATGCTGCTGCTTAAAGTGTTATCCTTTTTCGACATGATTTTGGCTTTGGAGGCTAACACGATCGTGAACATGAATGTCAATAATTCAATATTAAGACAAGCATTGCCGCAAAGGTCTCACCCTTCCTCTTGCTGCTGGAGATTCTGAAATCAGAATGCTATGCCGCTGAGCTCGGAGCGACTCCGTCTGGGCCGGAACTTGCGATGCTGTGCGCGGTACACCTTACACAGAGAGACGATGAACGGTGATGTTGCAGCAACAGCATGCTGAGCACAGGGCCAGGCATAGCACAAGCAGCACCACGTACCAAACGAACGCGGCATGGACCCAAAGTATCCAGGTTTCTGCATCGAGGTTGCTCAAACCTTAGAGCAAGTAGCGTACTCAGCTGCCCTTGACTTTCAATGCTTGTCTTCATCAGCGGTTCGACCGAAGGAGAGAAGCCTTTTTCGTTGTCATGATGGCTACCATTCTTACTACTATCAGCATTATCTCGATTATTTTCAATTTCAGCATGACTAGTATTATTGATAAGGAGTCAAATGCTCGAGCGAGGCTCCGATCCGGCTCAGGTCGTCGTCCGCGCCACCGGAGCGCGCGTGCAGGGGCGCTAGCACCATCAGAGCCGGAATGCCGATGCCAAACATCGCCTATGTAGGTCTAGGGCTTTGTGGGTCTAGGGTTTAAGTAGGGCGCCCTGTACATACAAGTACAAGTTACAATATGCCTTCTTCACCGGATTTCTTACCAAGTAGATCTTTCTTCACCTCCCCCAGCTATCCGCCGACGGTAGAAGCCTTCATGCTGAGATGGGTGAACTCCAGCAGCATGATTTGGTCCATTCCAACGTAATCAATGACGTCGTCAAACCTGCGCTGCTCTGGCATTGTCTGGGAATTCTACGCTTTGCCCCAGGTCTGGCCTGTAGGAGACACTGGTTCGAAGCCACCCGAAGAAGCCGAAAGCTTGAGCCGGCAGTTCGCCCTTTGACCTCGGACACCCCTCCCACCAGGGCCATTTCCACCTCGGCCTCCCCATCGAGTACGGACTGGGGCAAGTGCGAGGTGCTGCTCTCGTAGACCATCGGATACCGCTGCCGCAAGAAGTAGAAGGCCACACAGCTGCTGATGCCGATCAAGGTGCTGGTCAGCATAGCAAAGCCGAAGCTTTCCTTGACAAGCAACACTGGCTAACCCTGGGGAATGTGAAACAGCACTCCTTGCTTCAATATGCGAGATCAGCTCTGAAATCCAAGACTCGGTATCTTGAGATGTGTTCTTCTTGATGACAACTGCAAACCGGTCGTCGCTGATAGCCGTGACGCTCATGGCCCAAGCACATGCTATGGCGAGATCAAGGCACGGCCTAGTCAGTGCCTTCTTAGAGGCACCACTGGGTGGCTCTGAAAACTCGTTAAAGACAGCTCGTCATCGGCTGAGACGCTTAACTTGCGAAGTAGTACCAGACATCTTTCAAAGCCATTTCTCCATATGCTCAATGCTCGAAAGCTCGGCAACGGAAAGGAGTGCCGAGTTTTCTATCCCATCCCCCCTGGGAAGTGCGACACACATGCACATCTCCTTGCTCATCTTTCCTAGAACGGCACTCCGCAGGTGTTCATGCGATCGGGAAATGTGACCCAGCACCGCTTGCAGCTCCACCAGAGGTCCAATGCAGCTGAAGCTCCGAACCAAGAAGAGCGGGATGAGACCTCCGAGGCCGAGCCCTTTCATTTCTTAGTACCGCTTGGAACCCCATCCTTCTACATTGCAAACCACTGTTCTATGGCTAGTGCCGCAGGATGAACTCTTCCATCATACCGCATTGTGTTCTGACGTCTCTTGTATGTTCCTTTGCTGCAAATGATGCTTTGCTTGTCATTGAACGGAGCATAGACGTTTCAAGAGACGTCGGAAAGCATTCAGACAAATGATTTCTAATAAAGCCGAAGTCATCTTTCCACTTGCGGAAAGCAGTGTCTCACACAAGCCGGCAAGCTTCATAACCACCCATTCCGACACATCAAATCTTCCGTCGAGGCATGAAAGTCAAGCATTGGCGAGGGCATGCTTTAAACAGGCGGGTTCGGGGTGGGGATGATAGCTGCTTGGCGATTTGACTTGGTGTAGCAAGAATATAGCACAATTGAAGTTTATGCCTTTGCTCCTGGGGAACATGTTCCCGCAGATAAGATGAAATATTTTCGGGAGGGTATCCTGGAAGATTTTGTGCAATATATTGTATACCAATGTTACATCTTATATATTGTATACCACATATCAACAATGTCTATTGCATGCTGTAGGATATATATCTATATACTCAATTACTATGCTATACTATGCTATACTGTACGGTACTATACCATAGTAATAAGAAGTAGTAAGGGTCGTCGAGTGCCTTAACTGCCACCCCACGCTGGGACCGAGAAGCCTGAAACAGGTGAAAGCTTGGAAACAAGGGGCAAGGCCCAGCAAAAGTATAGTATATGCTTAAAACATATGTAACCACATCTACAACAGGACGAAGTTCTTCGTTGCTCACACATCCCTGGTTCCGACATCCCAGGGTTGTCCTGCTCTCTTTAGGTCTTGATCTTGAGACCAAGGAGCTCAAGGCCAAGAAGCTGCCAATCTCCAACTCAGGGATGGCCTCTTGAGGGAGCCATGACGCATGAAATTGGGATGGGAGCTTTAATTAAGGAATATACCTTAAGCTACAATAGGAATCCTACCATGATTTAAGGTATATTCCTTAATTAAGGGGTTTTGGAGTCTCTGGGTAAAGTGACTCAGGCATGGCGAGGGTAATTTGGAGACAGAGAGATAAAGCGAGGGGGTGAAAGAACAATCGAGACACAGAGGTCGAGTGATGCGCCGATGGACAGACAGCGAGAAGAGGTCAGGTAAAGGGGAGAAGACTGTGAGTCAGAGACAAAGAGAAACAGATGCACAGAAAGGGAGATCTAAAGATACAAACGAGTAGAAAACACCAGCGGCCAGTCAAGAGGCTTTTGCGATAAGGCAGCATAAGAAAATCTGAAGGAGCCATGCGCCTCACGCCGGGTGCATGCCAATCTGCCCATGTACAACCACCGTAGAACCAGCTAGCACACTCTGTTCTTGGCAGTTCAACATTCTGATCCCGAGTCCCTGGAGCTGCCTCTACCAGCTTGGTGATGTGTGCGACGGCCTGGAAGAAGCATAACGGCATAGCTTTAGGAAGGATGCAATCCTGCAGGTATCGTTTTGCAACCCCAGATAGTATGTGTGGGCGGCTGCATCCTGACATTCAGCCCTAGCTTTCGACCTCAATCCTTCAAAGTAGAATGCCTTGCTGCACGCAGAGCACCACGAAAAGCAACCAGGCGAGGCCTTGAAGAAGAGCCAGTACATTAGACCCCAGAAGCAAGCGCCTGCTCATGGAGAGCTCGACAGCTGAGGGGTCAAGTCAGGAGCATATCTAACGCTGATGACAATGGTGCGAGACGAAAAATTGTAACGGTAGCGGTAATAGCAGCAGCAGCAGCAGCAGCAGCAGCAGCAGGAGCAGCAGGAGCAGTAGTAGTAGTAGTAGTAGTAGTAGTAGCAGTTTAGTAGTAGTAGTTGTTGTCGTCGTCGTCGCCGTCGCCGTCGTACTAGTACCAGCACTAGCGGAAACTCTCAGACCAGTTCAACTACCGCCACCACCACCACCATCAACAACAACAACAACACCACCACCACGACCACCAGTACCGACATCACTGCTCAAAATGCCAGTGCCATCACCACTACCACAGTGGTACATCCCGAGCCTACTTACTGCCAAATGTTCTCAACGGCCTTCGATGGCAAAAGCATCAATTGGATCGAAAGCTTTAGATTAGACCATCCAAATTCTGCACACCACTAGCCGCTGCTTCTTTTGCGCAAAAGCCTCCAACGAGTTCGGCGGTGGCGAGCCTGGGCTCACCATACGCCTGCATATCTCCGAGGACATGACCGCTCTAGATTTCAACGTTTATTTGGGTGTTCGTCTCAAAACGAAGCCGGTAAGGCCTGCGTCTGCGTTCTACTACTTCTCATGACCACTCGGAATCGTGGAGTATAAATCTGGAAGGCTTGCCTGGAGCGTGGTTGCTTGTACTGCTTCGATTCAGGGGCAGTTCAATTTTCATCTCGATCGATCCGCGAATCCGTTGGCACATCTGCCTGCCTCTGCTTTTTGCACATCGCCAGCTTTCACCAGATGTTTTCGAGCGACGGCTCCATGATGGCTCAGCTTTGCCGGCAAGGCACTCACAAAGCTGGCTCGGCCTTGCAAGTGACTGTGGTGGGGTTGAGATATTGGAAAGCACATAACTGCCCTGAGCAGTCCAGCCAGCATGCTGAGGAGAATGCCCGCATGTTGTATTTGGAAACTGCCTGCATCGCTCATCCGCTTGACCGGACTGACTTCGAGTTCAGAGACATCAGCTACCTACCCGATTGACGGCCACCAGTCAAGAACAAGTTCAGCTGCAGTGTCGGTGGTGCTGCACTTGAATTACTTCAAAAAATCCCCAGGCATGTGCAGGGTGGGTGTAAGGACGGGACTCGAGGCAAATAAACGACGAAAGCCTCATATCAGTTTCTATACTAGTTGATATCATCTCCTATGCGGGTAGTCATCGGATCCTGCGCTGGGCCTGCAGATGGTGTTTGCGTACCGACGGAAAACACGCTTGCCGGACGGCGGAGGGTCGACGACCTGAGTAGCGAACCGATGCCCCACGGTGTGCTGGCGTAGGATGTGCTGAAGTTGCTACTGTCTACGTACGGTTTCAATTGTCCAAGAAAACGCGCTTGCAACACAATGAGGCTCGCATCGTTAAGCACGTGATACACAATCCGGACACCCCAGTTTCTGCCGGAACAAAGTGCAGTCCCTACATAGAAGAACCCTTACTGATACTAGAGACTCCGCAATAAGGAGACCTTTCTGAGCGACTCACAGAAGCAGGCCGAGGCCACCCAGTGCTACGCGAGAACGCGGCATGTGCTGGCACGAGACTCTCAGCCCCCTTTTTGCCGTTTGCCTAGGGCTGGTCTCTACTGAGATCCTACTAGATAAAGATGCGTGTAGCGGTCATGCACAGGGAGTAAGTCTCACTGAAACGGTGCGGTAAAACAACACCGCCAAGACGTGACCATACAAAGATCTGTAGGAGATAAATGCTAGTCGGAGGTAAGATTCTGAAATGGCTCCATTGCTTGGCCTGGTTGCTGGCTGGGGCGGCCAAGATTGGGGAGCTGCCGTCAGCTCTCATTTTAGACTGTCTCTATTTTGTCAGTATTGGAATTATGAATTATATGTGTTGATGTCAAATTGGCTCGATACTCTCCACCCGCAGCTCAAAAGACACCTGAGCAGCTCCGGCACACGATCGAAAGGAAACATGCACCGCCCTTCTGTGCGACCTGCTTTCTTTTTCCGGTGCGCTAGCACCCAATAACACGCCCGAGTGCAACTGTTGCGAGAGGGACGCCTGCTACTTCGGGAATCTACAAGAACTATGTCGCAAGCGTAAATGGAGCCAAGCAGGTGGCAACACACGACGCGAGATGGCCCTCTGCGCATTTGGCACTTTGGGTGTCAAGGAGTTCGTAGGCAAGCAGAGTCCCCGAGCGGCTGACACGAATCGAACTTCCGTGGCATCCCACTTATTCTGCAACTAGGAATCATGCTTGATGAGGGGCACTGAGGGAACTACCGTGCTAACTCAATCTCTGTTATTTATGGACATGTGCATGACAGTGACGCTGCAGGCATCCATTTTGGATGTTGCACGTCAGTGGCCAGAACGGCTTGCGGCTTGCGGCTACGTACATTGGGCAAAGCAAAAGCATTGTTATTGCAATCCGCTCGCTACAGCACCATACCATCATTTATCTCAAATGGCTGCGCCAAGCAAAGACATATGACCTCATATTCCCCTTCGTGCATAGGAAATGCTTTCAGCTCGCCCAGGCAAGCTCGAAACTGCCTGTACCGCGACACCTTTGGTCCATAGTGGCGAATTGACAAAAGCCTGTGCAAAAAGGCTCATAAGATGTGAATGCTGATACGGTGGTGGATCCGCCGCTATTTACGACCAACCTACATCTCACAGCGGCCGTTTTGGCACGGCGGGAGCAGCTACGCTACCCGCTTGAAAAGAAGACTCATTGAAAAACCCGATTTCGGATTTTCTTCGGCCAAGGCCACTGGTTCGAGCCTCTGGAACCCACAATGTGAATGCATGCACTTCGATGTCCTGCACTCCGACAGGCGCTCTGGCATAAGTTACAGTTGCTCTGCCCTGCTTTCACATACCAGCACAGAGCCGCTCTGTTCCTGCCGGGGTTTTGGCGGCTTCGGGGTATAGTATGCTACTAATTATAATACGAAGACCTGAAAGATGGTGGTACTGAAGGTTTGGGCTTCTACACCCTCGTCTTTCCAGGGAATTGAAATTTGCTGACCGCGAGAAGAAATGACGGTTTTCTGCTGTTTCTGCCACATCAAGAACATGTATACTCGCAGACGGCACAAGTGATACCATGTCTGATGATACACAACCAAGGGCAGCTAAACATGCGGCTACCGTGCGAGTGACTTATGTACCGACACGTACTGGTAGATCTCTCGCAACAAGTGACCGTAAAGCATAAAGCCAAACAACATGTAAAATGCTGCTTACATACTGGCAGGTATCAAGAAAACAGGTCTGACGTCTTAGTTGTCTCGTCCTCATCAGCTTCGCTGTCCTTCCTAGTCAACATAACATTATCATTGTCATGATCGGCGTCGTATCAGTATCACAGTAATACAGTGCATGACCGGAGCAATGGAAACACTGTGAATAATCGTCTGCCCGCCAGCTTAAGCAGCAAAGATGGTCTTGACGATGATGGTGATGATGATGATGGTGCCCTTCATCTTGAGTCAGTGAATTAGTTGGTTGGCTCCGGTGGCCACAAACAAGGCCAGCCCTTCTGGGATCTGAGCCCGAAACCGTCGTCAAGGCTGTGAGAACAACTCAACACGTCAGGACCCTCGATCCCAGCCAAAGCTGACGGACCACCTGGACCTCCACGAATCCGCCCTCTCAAGCCAGCATGGTAGGACACGCCCAGCTTGGGTTGGAATCGGATACTTGGAAGACAGTCCGTTTTGTAAGTTTTTCCCTCACCAAGGTACTCAGCTTACTCAGCTGGGCGTGCCATCTCAGGCCAGGCAAAGGACAATTTGCACAGTCGCTCCACACTCGCACCGGCAGGATGTTCATGGAGACGATAACGATGATAATCGAGAAGAGTATGATCTTTACAACTATGCCGATAGTGGTCGTCACCCAACACCCTAAACCCTAAGAAAAAGAAATCCTAAGTGCCACGGCCCGGCCTGTGCCCCACGTGGGACGATGACGTGGTTCACCTGGGAAGCTGTCCAGGAACTTAAATTAAGTTACCATAATAAGGAAACATACATGTCCCCTTTATGTAGGGTTTAATCTTTAGGGCTAAGGGACTTTATACATATATATATATATACATACATCACGATGGCAACTTAAACTTAAGTTCCTTAAGTGTATGTATATATATACACATACATCACTATGGTGACTTAAGTTTAAGTTCCTTAAGTATATACATATATATATATATATATACATCACTATGGTGACTTAAACTTAAGTTCCTTAAGTATATACATCTATACATACATCACTATGGTGACTTAAATTTAAGTTGCATCAAGATATATATATATACACATCACCATGACACCTTAAGCTTAAGTTCCTTAACTCCTTAACAGCAACCCAGTCACATGAGTGACCCCCTCCGAGCTTTGAGTCGGCGCGGGGCTGCCGTCGGCTTCCTGGCGGCCCCAAGGGCAGTATACTTAGTCTTAGATTATGCATATCACAGTAACTGAGTTTAGGGTTTAGGGTTTAGGGTTAGACTTAGATTTTTTGTGTCATAGTAACTGGGCTATGCTAGGCTATTATATAATGTTGTATGACATGATACCAAGTGATATCAAATTATGCTGTTAGTTGTGCCAGTATGGGAAGTGTACCATGTACTATAACCAGGACTAAGGTTCGCAGCAGGAAATAAACCTTGCACAATTATGGCTGAAGAGCAGGCGCAGCCATGGTGAGGAGCTAAAGACAAGATAAATGAGAGTGATACGAGCTTCAACAACTTTAACCATTGCTCGCGGTGGCACCACGCTTGCTGCTGCGGCGAAAACTGACTGTTCACGACAACCGCGCCAATGCTCATGTTATTAGTCTTGTCTTGTTAGCCGCGCTTGTTCCTGCGGTTGCTGCATCTGTTGAGATTTTACTAGCACGACTTTACTTGCCGACTTTGCGACTATCAACATTGCTGCTCTCGGTACGGCCCACTGCAAACACTAGTGCGTGTTTTGGCCATAGCGTTGCTGCAACTGTCGGCATATATGCATATGTACTGCGGGACCTAGGTTTGCTGTGTGTGTGTGTATATGTATGTCCGTGTGTGTGTGTGTGTGTGCATGTCAAGGTACACTCCCATGGGACTCCATATTGCCGCCACTTGTTCTTGGATCCTTCTTCTTGTGAGCGCTACAGGTATCGCCTTGGTTCATGTCATGGTGTTAATTCCGTTGGTGTTGCCAGTGCTAGTGCCTCCACCACCACCACAACCACCACCACCACCACCAGGACTACCACGATCACGACATCCACGATGACGACGACTACTACTGCTACTGCTGATGCTGCTGCTGTGCCTACTACTTGTTTCCGCTGCTTGCGCTTCTTGCTGCTCATCACGTGTCACATACTACTTTCTGCTGACAACTTATCTTGCCATCTACGCCTTACGACTTGCGACCTGTTACTCACTACTCACTCGTCAGCGCTAGCCGCTAACAACTTTCTACTTGCTACGTACTGTTTACTACTACTAACTGCTTCGTACGTCTAGTGTACTACTGCTACTACTTCTGCTACTACGACTACTGCGACGACGACTCATAGAAGCAGACTACTACTACTACTACTACTACTACTACTACTACTACTTCTACTACTACTACTACTACCACCACCACTGATAGTGCTACTATTATTTACGACATTGCTTCTACCACTACGACGACGACTACTGCCTGGGATGCACATTCACTTCTACGTTTGCAGTGCTATCTTGTGCACTGCGTCTAATGACTACTGGACAAGCGCACCTTGCGCAAACATAAGCCTATGTAGCTTTTTGCGTCGGAATCTGCGTGCCGGCACATTGACACGTGTAGATCTCGATGTGTATATAGGTATATATATATATATACGTATACATATATACAGCGCTATTAGACTATATCTTAGGTAATATATATATATACTTACATACATACATACATACATACATACACACACACATACATACATACATACATACATACATACATACATACATACATACACACATACATACATACGCTTATCAAGTTATAAACGACTATATGATATATATATATATGCATATATATATATACATATATATACATATATATATATATATGAACACATGTATGGTACCCCCTTCCCCAAAGCCAACGTCCGAGCTGATCAGGTAGTACACACACCGTAAATTCTACCAGATGTCGGGGTTCAGGGTTCGTATCAACATGCGGTGGTTCCCCTGTGTCCAAAAAACGGCGGTCCTGATTTGCAACCTTTCTGTCATTATCACAACACATGTAAAACTCCAAAAATGAAAAATCCAAGAGTTCGCACATGTCCAATAAGTTCTTCCTCTTTTGCAATATTACGTGCACCAAGTTCCGACATGTTGAAAATATGGGAACATTTCCGAAAATTTCCGAAATCTCCAAACCGTTCCAAGATTTCCAATACTTCACAAGCCCCAAAACTTCCAAAAAGGTCGCCCGTATGTTTTGGATGATCGTGTGTACTAGGTTCTGACATCGTGGAAACTTCGGAAGTTCTGGAAATTTGTAGATTTCTGTATTTTTATGAACTTGGTATAGCTTGGAACCTTTCGAGCTTTTGGAGGTGGGAAAGTGTTTGGAACTTTGGAAGTCTCAGTTCACCAGGTTAGCAAAAAGTTTTGGGCTGTCGTTTGAGCTCTTGTAGCAGTGTCTTACCCAGTTAGTATATTCATTGGTTACGATCCACTCCAACAACGTTTACACCATCTTCTGCATTTTAACCTTCAATTAAATACGGCAATGAACGAAAGCCTAAAGTATCCAATACATGTTCTTTGGCGACGCACCCCATATGCACACGTGCCCACCAGGACCACCTTTGCCGGCCAGCGTGCAAGCATGCACATTGGCAGGGGAAAAACTGGCCCCGGACACAACTGTTGCAGCAGCTGCGCAGGAGTTTGCCAACTGCTGAGAGGAGTATAACCCAGAAACACAAGCCTCCAACTACGAACCCAACCCAAAAACCAAAAACCCTTGAAGCCTCGAAGAACCTTTAAGGCCTTCTGATGTGCTCCAACCGTTCCTTTTGCACTGGGCCTCGCAGGCCTCTTGATGAGTAGCATCAAGCGTCACTTCTTGAACGGCATCGGCTCTTTGATTGTCATCTTGATTTCGTTTTTGAGGGGCGAGTCTGGCTCTTCGACTTTCTTCTCGATGTTTTGTTGCATGACACATCCAGCACTGACCACGTGTGCAATTCACTCTAGACTCACGATTTCGATACGATCTCGATATGATTTCATTACGATTTTGATACGACTTCGCTACGATGCCGATGCGTCTCCAGCCTCCTCCAGGACTGGCTTTGATGTGTTTGCAATGTTTTTGATATGGTTTTCGGACTCGCAGCCGAGCTGCCTTCCGAGCCGTGCTTTCCCGCGTAGCGGTATTGAAATCGTAACCAGGACCGTATCAAAATCGCAAACGGGGCAAAGCCCTGAACCATAAGAAAACCATAAGATAATCATACAAATAACTCCCGGCGCCTATCCTGAGTTTCCCATGATGTCTTTCATAAATCTAGTTAAATAGCTTCTTTCATAAGTTTATAACATGCAAAGCAACATAGCGAACAAAGCATGACACAGATCTAAGGATAATGGTACGTTTTGCAACGTTGGTCTTGGTTGGGACACGGCATCTCGTACATAAATCAAGCTTTGATCTGGGACCGACACTTCGGCCACGTGACGGGAAGGGAGACAGAAATGAATACTTTAGAAAAGTATCCGAAAATAAGGGATTTCGTGGGCTTCGGAGGGGGGTAGTATGTGTAGCGCACCTGGGTATGTGCGCGCACGCATACCATTTTGATGTGCACATACGTCCGTGTATACCAGGGTGGTGGTGACAATGGTGGCGATGATAGTGCCAGAGTCCGAACAGGATGGCTTTGGTCTGGAAGGAACTGCAAATGCCACGGAGCGCACGCACCGAAAAAGGGAAGAACCAGGAAGTAAAGAGAAGTGACGCTGTACTCTGTAGCGAGGATGCGGAGAGGGCATGAATGAACTCATCTACTTGGAGGTTCATGGGTAGTTATAAGTAGGGTTATAAGTTCCCTAATATGGGTTATAACTATAGTTACCCTACTTATAACCCCACATATAACTACCCTTGAACCTCCAAGTACCTTCAACGTGCTCAAGGTAGGTGGTGTGGATGTGCCTGTGGTGCAGGTGGTGGAGCAGCATCCGCGAATGCCGGCGAATGAAGCTGCTCCTGGCATGCCCAGCTTCAGAGATCCATAAGGGAGTTTCCGAAAATTAGGGGTACCTTATTTTGGGGCCCTTATAATAAGGATCCTACTATTTAGGGTACTATATTAGGTCCCCCTATTTTTGGAAACCCCCACATAAATACAGATCGAAGCGACAACACGACCGGACTCGGAGACCTCATCTCAGGCGCATACTGTTTCATGAGTCTGGTGGATGATAAGCGGGGGCACGGCCAGCGGCTTGTAGGAGCCCTCTGCAAAAGCAAGGCTGGCATCACTGCCTATGACATATGGCACATGGGTCTCGGAAGCTGGCCTGTGACTTTGGCCGGGACGGCACGGAGGGTACTGCAGCGAAGTAGCCGTGTGCAAGCACAGACTGCTCTCTTCGACCTCCCCTGCTACGACCTGCCAATAAGCGTATCTGTCCTTTGCCTGATTTACAAAAGTTCCGTCCTTGACTCGACTCGTCGATTTGGGAGTCGAACTGCAGTTCCTGAGGCGAAACAAAGGCTGTGGGCAACACAGCTGAGTTCGATGCTGCAGTTGGGAACCATTGTAAGTTCGAGCTGGAAGCGTAACACTCAGAAAGTCCAACCGCCACAGAATGAACTCGCGCCGCCCAGTGTCGCACAACTTGAGCAGCCCTGCTTCAAGCTTTCGCAGTGACACCTGCACGTGGTCGGGTGCCCTTCTTAGCCTGTACTTGGTACAGAACTGCATGACCCCTTCATGCGACCCAGACGACTAATATCAACAGTCCAACCTCCACGTGGGCCATGAAGGCACCGAGTGTCTTGGACAGCCATTGATGATCATGCTGCATCTTTGCCTGCATCTTGCACGCAGCATGCGCGAACAGAACTGCAAGGCCCACGAACGGTTTTCAACTGGAGTTGCTGACTGGCTTTGGAGCCCCGCCCCAACCTTACTGAAATAAGATGAACTGACAATCTCAACAACTATCCGAGCACTGTTCAATTAAGTACTAACCAGAAGGGAAACTATGAGCAGCAAGAACCGCGCCATAAAGTAAAGCATAAGTAATCAGCTCAGGCCACCAGGTCCAGTGCCCTGGCAGGGCCCCGCAGTCGCAGGCCTCAAGGAATCGGTGGAGGGAGCAAAGTGGGAGATCTCCGAGGGCTTTGAAACATTCCTGATCGCTGCTTCTGCATGCAGCATTACAGTTCATGCCATAGACTAAGCCAGGCAACATCCCAACAGGAACCTCAGCTCGTCACGGAGCAAGAGATGGGCTGAGCATGATCCACTTTTGCTCCAGGAGATGGATCAACGAGTGTCCATGGGCTTGCACACCAAGCAGCTCCTCAATCTCTATGGCAGCGCCACCATCAGTGTCAAGCCTACCGAGAAGAACCCGGTGAGTCGCTTCCACACAGTCGCACTGTCTGCAGACCAGGCACAGCTTGAAGAAGGTCCACCTTGGTCCATGCGCTTGTATGGGAGTTCCGAAAATTAGGGTAACTTATTTCGGGGCCCTTATAATAAGGATCCTACTATTTAGGGTACTATATTAGGTTCCCCTATTTTTGGAAACCCCCGCATCGGTGTTATGTCGCCGAAGCTTGGCCGCCACAGCGGAGCTCAGGCCGACGCGCGTCAGACACGTCCAACTCCAGGGCCTCGAAGTAGGTCTGGACCTCGGACTGCAAGGATCGGTTTTTCTGAGACAGGATCCTTGATACAGGAGCCCGGGTAAAGAACTTCTAAAATGGGAACTCATGTTAGAGTAGTCAGTGTGCCGACTTGTTGTGCATGTTCTCTTCCAACTCCACCAAGCTGATGTAGCCCGACTCATCGGCATCCAGGTTGGAGAAGAGGGACCTTACCTTCCGTATGTGAGCCTCGGTACTCGGCAGTCGTAGCTAAACGGAAGACGGGATCGTTCCGGGGCCAGAGGGCATTGGTTCCGAGACTATCGGGGACTTTGGTGGTAAGTAACAACCACAATGGGCTTTTTGCATGACAACAGCATCGAAAATTACTGACTGCAGGCATTGTGCGATGGAGTACTACCCCAACAAAGCAATCTGCAGAAGCAAGAAGTACGTCTCGGCAAAAAAAATGCAAAGGGCAATGGCATTCAGCTTGAATCTGCAATGGTGTGATGGACAACACGATCTTTCTGAAAACGACACTGAGACCGGTGGTTCAACAGAACGTGAGCACTTATGTGTTTGAACGTCCGTACCGATCTTTCCGGCTGAAGCAACAGCTTTCTACATGGAAGTTATGTCCGGGACCCAAACACAGTGAACTTTTTATTCGAATGCGAGATCTCAAACGAACTTCCACGCGAACTATCTTCGTGTACATGTGCGTGCTGCAATTCACATTCCGGTTGATGCCGTTCAACTGACACATTAAGATGAAGATGTCCTGCGAGCCAGATGCCTCCTTGTTGTGAATGATGTTCTGCATGATCATCTCCTGCGCCAATGACAGACATTTCACTGAATTGAATCAGGTCTGATGTGCACTTGCACCCCGACTATGTTCATGCAACTTGAACTCAAAACTTCTGAGTTCAAGGCATGGTCGCTTTGGGCGCTTTCTATAGCACTTTGGCAGAAAACGCCTGTCACCTGGACAAAAACAACTTCGACTATAAAGCATGTCACGCACCCGAACACGCGAGCGAAACATCCTGCAGAGATCTGAACACCTTCTCACCGTCACTGTCACCAGCAATGACGTACACATGGTTACATATACTTGTGCACAAACTTGTTTGCGCATGTCTTGCTGCAGATGCCTGAGCACCCGGCCACATTAAGCACAGCGAAATAGCAAAAACTTATATAGAACAGGAAGAGGAAAGCCTCGGCTTAGCAGGATTGTGTCCACTCATGGAAAGCAATGCAATCAAACTACTTGCCTGCCTTGCTGCACTGTTCCCAACTACACTATACAATGAATGTCCCTGTGACCGACCCATCACAACCACGGAATAAGCATGACAAAACTAACCGATGGCAACATGAGCATTGTTAGATATCTTACCGCATGTTGGTCGATGTTCCCGATCCGATTATTGACGCGTGGTGAAAACCAATGCTTGGGTTCTTTTGAAGTTGGCGGACGAATTGAACACGCCTAATGCAATATTTTGAGCCTGAACATGACAAACGCGGACGGAAAAACACGCAATCTCTCCGGCTGGTATGATGCTACACGTGGCATCCCAAGCTGCAGTTTCGGAATGTTTTAAAAACAATGCCCTTCGTCCCAAGTTTGTCAACTCAAACCGTACAGCACGCTCGAGATTGCCCCAACTGCATGGTGAGTAAGTGAGTGAATGTGTCTAAGCGACTCTCCTGCACCCAGTGGGACGTGCAGGAAGCCTTGCCGAACGCGCCGATCGCTCCCGGCTTCTCAGGGGGCTCCGCAAGCGTCCTTGCCCCCTCCACTTGGAGTTCAACTTGCAGACGCAAGGAACAGCAACTAGGCAGGCCCGCCACCGGCTAACCGGCGTAAGGGCAAGACTGCGTGCCATCCTCGCGGAAGTTGTTGCGACAAGGGTTCTTCCCTCGACAGTCTCCCATCACGGTACTAAGCCAAACAAGCAGCGTCGCCTTTGCGTTGGGTTGTGCCCGGCCGCGTGCCAACGCTGGCGAGCACGCATCACTGTAGATTCCTCTACAGATACTAGGTGCATAACGCGGCTCGTGCGGCACTTTGCTTTCCCAAGTACTCACTCAGTCACCACCTTTTCCTGGATAAGGGGGAATGGCAAGCTCCATCCATCCCCACAAGCAGGCCCCCTGACAGTGTAGCCTCGAATGAGCAAGTGAACAAGCTGTGACCAACACCCGTCTCGGACGAGGAGGGCCAACTGCATGGTGCCTGGCGGTTATTGGTGCTACACAATCGCTTGGCAGCCAACACAATACTCGTGCCTCACTTGAGATCTTTTGATGCGATAAAAACGCAACAGCAGCCACGCTTGAACCCACCTCCGTTAGCATCGTCGTCTCAGTTGCTTATATGTCTGTTCCACGCCAGTTACGAGCGATTTCCATCTTGCTTTCTACAGGCGGACTTGCGGCCGGAGCTGGCAGCAAAATGTCAAGACGATACTTCGCCCATGCGGTCTGAACGCTTGCAGCTGGTTCTGGACAACTTTTGTCGGCACCCCATGATGCAAGCGCCCTTTCCGATAACCCAGCCTGTCCTCACGCGACCTGTTGCGGGGAAGCCGCTGTCTCGCAGTTTCCAGTCGTCAAACTGACACGCACACTCCGGCATGTCACAGGCATCTCCCGAACTCTGGCGATGCCGTGCATCTGATGCTAGGGCGCAGAAATTCAGCCGTCGCCCATGCCCGTTTTCGCTGCCAAGCAGCTGAAAGAAATTTCACAGGACCTATGCCAAAGAATGCTCAATTGCGTGGCAATTCTAGCAACTTGCGTGCGACCAAACAGTGATGGCGTGTGCCGAAGCTTCGAATGGCTTCGTCACCCCAACAGCCGTGGCACTTGAACGCTAGCTGTTGAGATGCTGCTGATTGCTGTACACATGTCGAGAGGTTCCCCACTTGTCCATGAGACTCCATCGGCGTTCCACAGAGATGCTGGCCGAGACGCAAAGCGCCCAAATTTAAAAGCGTTGTCGCGGGTCGTCGGGGGCGCTCCTAGCTGGAATTGTACAAACGTGGCGGTCCACTGATCCTGACACATCTGCTCTGCTGCCTCAGCACGCTCATGCGACACATACGCCACTGTGCCAGAATCAAAGTGAAATCGCAGCCATGCCCTTCTGTAAGTCTTACCTTGAACCGCCGTGAAAAGATTCTGTTGAAACAAAACAGCTCCCGAAACTAGAGTCGAACACCCGTCGCATGAAACCAAGGCAATACCACAAGTCCGAGATCTTGCGACAGCCGCAAACCAAAAAAACAAAAAAGGTCTTGAACCCAGGCCAGAAAGCCATGGAACAGGACAAGTGCGCCGCTTGGCACGCGAATGTGGGACTGCTCTGGGATTCTATCCGGCCTTCACGATCAGATCAAGGCCGATGCCTTGTGCCCCATATCGACTTACCATGCAAAGGTCCCAAGCCGTGCTCCTTCAGGAGCTGGCCCGTTTTGAATGATCACAAAACCGCAGATGGCCGCCCCAATCGGCAAGCAGGAAGTCTTTCTTGGATGTCTTGCAGCCAAGACATCTGGTCCCAAAGTCTCAACCACATCGGGTTTTGCTATGTCGTGGGAATGACACAGCATTGTTGGAATCACACATGCGGTGCGACAGTGACCTGTGTGATTGAAAACCGGCTTTTGTATGTTTATAGAGTTAGGTACCATGGGCTAGAAGACCTTTCTATGTTGCGCCTACGCCTTTGCTCTTACCTTCGCTTGGCAATTGTGGTCGTACCCTGCCTTCATGTCTTGAGATCTTTTCCGCGCATGCTCTTTCATGTGCTCGTTCAGTCTTTTCTTCCATAGTTCTGTCATTCTCTCCTCAATTGACCCAGAATCCAAAATATAAACTAGCGCGAACTACATTTCCAACAGACGCCTGACAGCAGAAAGCTGTCGATCGCTTGCGCGACGGGGCGGCTTCGCTGTAAAGCCGAGCTGATTTGTGCTGTGTACAGTCCGGTCCGGTTGGACAATAGCTACACCCGGACTCGCATTACCACCAATTTCGCAGAATCCTTTGCGGACGAACCACCTAGCAGCAGCTAGCATACCTAGATTCCCAGCAGTGTTCCTGCAGTCAAGGGACGCACCACTCCGAGACAACAGTCATCGGTCTCAATGCATTCTCCCAACTGACCCCGCCGCATATTGCCCTCGGATGTTCGTTCAAGTTGCTAGGGATCAAGCCTGCGACGTCCACAGATTGACATGATCAGCAAAACGCAGCGCAACATAACGCTTACTGTAGCCGAAGAAGCATGAACAACGTGAGCATGGACGCAGGGAGATCCTTCCAGTACTCATTGATGGCAATCAGGATCGGATCCGCATCGTCCAAAGCACCTCGGAGCCAAGCAAAACTCTGCTCCCGCACGTCGAGAGCGGCGCCGCAGTAGTCGATGCGGCCCTTAAGAACTAGCTTGAGTTCCTTCAAAAGCCCAACCAAAAGACGGGTCTGAATCGATTGCGTCGCCATCCTTGACAAAACTGTTGTCCTGTGACGTGGATTGGAACAATGGCTTGAGAGTCTACCTTGAGACTGTGGACAACTGGAACCATTGTAGGAGGTCTCGACAGTATAAAGGAACGACGTCAGTCTGCCAAGGGGCCGTCACCATGTTGATAATCCATGAGGTAGAGGGTTGAGGCTTGTGTGAACACAATGCCAAACCTTGCACCAACAAGCAGTCGCTGCATTGTTTTACCCCTGCATGCGACACCTTCAGCCGCCAAGCACAACCAATGAAACTAAGCAGGAACTGTGTCCGTCACGCAATTATGTGATCGAGGTGCCCATAGATGATCAACGAAAGTAGCACCAATGCCCAAACCAGAGATTTGAGCGTAAAGACGATCGAACTCACCAATGTCCGCAGCGCCTTAATGAATCCTTAGCACAAGGCCCAGCTCTTCTTTCTTGCTTTCAGTGAAAATGTGCACTATTCTATATAACCAAGCAGCGCTTTACTATGGGGTTTGCAGCAGGATGTAGCGAAAGGGGTCCAGGTTCTTGTGTAGGGAGGCGCGTTAATTGTAAATCTACCCTCGTGGTTTTGGTTTTAGGGGGTCTTAGGGACATCAGAGGGGCAAGGATCCATGAGCGCGAAGAACCCTGAACCTTTGAAAAGGTCTTTCTGCCAGACGAAGGTCTTTGGCTAGACCCGGTTTAACATTGGACAAGGCTTTCGGTTGGACTATGTTTTCTGTTAGATAAGGAGTTCTGTGGTTCAAGGGGCTTTGTTGAACGGTGGGTTCTGTAGAGAAGGGATTCTGTTAGCAAAGCCAAACTTGACGCCTGCACCCGAGTAGCATGTCAGTACAGCAAAGGTTCAAGACTGTAGTTTACAGCAGACCCTGCCTGTCTGCTGTAATGCGCAAGCGTATATCGAAGCCTTCAAACACCAGGTGCTTCATCATCATCATCATCATCACCATCATCAGCATGACTTGAGCAACGGGTTTAGGGTTTAGGTTCGAGCTTGTGGGCTTGCATCCAGGCAAACTTCTTCTTGAGCACAGCTGAGTCTTGGTTTTGCGATGCTATGATGCTGCGCCTGTGCCGTTCGCACAGTAAGTCTGCAGCGCATAGGTTCTTGAGAAGTGTGTCAGAGACGATCTTGGGTACTGCATGGTTGGAGTGGAGGGAAAAGTTTCAAAGGATCCAGATTGTGATCCCTGCAGGCAGGATGCGAGTGATCCGCGCGATGCGCGTCAATCGAACCAATCTTGTGATTCTGATGATCCGCAGCACACGCATGTTCGTCAATGTAGACACCCCAGGCGGAGTGTCCTGCGCCAGCTGAAACGGCCAAAGTTTCCATGCCAAACATGCAGCGAAGCTGCAGAAGCAATTGTAACACAAGTATGAAGATCTTGCATCCCGCGCGCCTGATTGAGTATGCTCAGAGACATCTCAGGGGGGCAGAACGCAATGCCGCGGATCACTCACTTGCTGGTCTGACTTGCACCACATTCAAAGGTCTAAGAGTGTGTGGCTATGGCTCTGCTGGCGACATGACCCTTCAAGCCCACCTGCACGATAATTTCTACGAAAGCACTGCCGACAATGATGAGATCCATGATGTTCCAAGCAAGGTTCTTGGGTTCCAGGAAGAATTGCTTACCTCAACGAGCGGACAAAGCGGCCCACTTTTGCTGGTCTTGAGGACTGAGGTCTGAGAGTGCTGCCATGAGCGGCAATTCTCAGGAAAAGCTCCACCTGAGAGAAAGGTTCTTTCTTCAGCTTCAGACATACCGTAGAACAGCGAGGTCGGCGACTGCTCATGATATCTTCACGAACATGACATCGCTAGACATGCAAGCATGGGCACCGAAAACAGCGCTGTGAAGATGTAGCCAATGACCTGATGCGCGACATTCCGCTATCGGCGGGAAGCGATGTTGCAAACGAACCCTGCGAAGATTCTCGGGCGTTCACATGTGATTCTTGACGCCAGTTTCTGTGCCGGCATGAGGTGGGCTAAGAATGGGTTTATCAACAACAACAACAACAACAAC